TTCTGTCCCACATAAAGATGCTGGGGTTGAGGCTCAACACCAAGAAGAGTGTTCTCCTCCCGTCTCAGAGGACCACTTTTCTAGGTGTGGTATAGTATTCGACAACAATGCGGGCACAATTGTCACCTGCACGTATTACGTTGATTCTCTCAGCCGTAAATGGGGCAAAACTAAGCCAGTCACTCACTGTGAAACAGTTTCAGAGATTGTTGGGTCTCATGGCAGCTGCTTCCAACGTAATAACTTTTGGCCTCCTGTACATGAGACCCCTGCAGTGGTGGCTCAGGACAAAGGGGTTTTCTCCAAGAGGAAATCCGTTTCGCATGATCAAGGTCAAGCGGCGATGCCTATGTGCCTTAGTCATGTGGAACAAACCTTGGCTCCTCGCCCAAGGCCCAGTGCTGGGGGCTTCTTGTCGACGCATAATGCTATCGACGGATGCTTGCCTCACAAGTTGGGGGGCGGTCATGAGTGGTCGCTCGGCGAAATCTCTATGGCAGGACTATCTACTTTCTCGGCACATAAATCGGCTAGAAATGGTGTTTTGAGCTCTCAAGCACCTGTCTCTCAGGGCAGTATATATTCTGGAGCATCTAAATCAGGTAGCGGATATCCTGTCAAGGCAGGGGCTGAGGCCTGGGGAATTGAGCCTTCACCCCGAGGTGGATTAAGCTCCTTTGGGAGAATTTTGGTCAAGCTCAAGTCGACCTTTTCGCATCGTCATATACAACGCATTGTCCCATGTGGTTCTCTCTCACCCACCCAGCTCCTCTCGGGCTGGATGCGATGGTTCAGGTGTGGCCGAGGCTACACTTGTACGCTTTTCCTCCAATATCCAGGCTTCCGGGAGTTCTGGAGAGGGTTCGCCGGGAAGGGGCCCGTCTGGTATTAGTAGCCCCGTACTGGCCGGCCCGAGTTTGGTTCTCGGACCTGATGTCCCTTCTAGATGGCTTTCCGATGGAGATTCTGATCAGGATGGACCTACTGTCCCAAGCAGGGGGCACGATTTATCACCCTCGCCCGGAGTTTTGGAAACTGTGGGCTTGGCCCCTGAGGGGGCCCAGCTCACAGAATCAGGTCTCTCGACCGAGGTCGTGGAGACCATACTCCAATCTAGAGCTTCCTCCACGAGAAGACTGTATGCACTGAAAGGGAAACTGTTCTCTGCTTGGTGCGGAGAACACCAACTGAATCCTGTTTACTGCCCTGTTGGTACAGTGCTTGATTATCTGCAAGAACGTTTCCCTGCGGGGTTATCTTCTTCCACCTTGAAGGATTATATGGCGGCTATATCTGCTTACTTCACTCCTCTGGGTGGTGCATCATTGTTGAGAGATCCTCTCATTACTCGTTTTCTTTGTGGCACCCTGAGGCTGAGGCCTACACTGCGCACTAGAGCACCGGCTTGGGATTTGGCCGTTGTCCTGGAAGGCCTGGCTTTGGCTCCCTTCGAGCCCATTGAAGAGGTTTCAGAAAAGTTCCTTACACTAAAAACTTTATTTCTTATTGCTATTTCTTCTATCAAGAGAATTGGAGATATCGCAAACATGGTCAGTTGCTCCTTCATGGCTAGAATTTGCACCTGGTATGGTGAAAGCCTTTCTTCACCCTAGGCCGGGTTATATTCCTAAGGTCCTTACTAATGTTGCGGGCCCAATTGTGCTGCAGGCCTTCTCTCCTCCACCCTTAAATACACCAGATCAGGAAAAACTTAACCTGCTGTGCCCTGTGCGGGCTTTGGATGCTTACGTACACAGAGCTGCCCTGTGGCGTAAATCGGATAAAATATTCGTCTATTTCGGGTCACCCAGAAAAGGTTACCCTGCATCCAAGCAGAGGATGAGCAAGTGGGTAGTCGAGGCTATCTCACTTGCTTATGAAGCGACTGGTCATCCTTCATCTTTGGCTGTCCGGGCCCATTCTACCAGGAGTATGGCTGCCTCAAAGGCTTTATTATCGGGGGTTTCCCTTCATGACATCTGTGATGCGGCATGCTGGTCCTCACCGCATACATTTGTTAGATTTTATTACTTGGATCTAGGCTCCACTCCGGGGTCTAGGGTGCTTGCTTCTTAGTGTGCCCAACTACACACAGAACAGGCATTTGCTAGGATGGCGTCATGGGTATAGTGTTCCCACAGCGTCTCTCTTTTTTATCTGTTGGTATTTGATTGAGAATCTATGATGCCATGTATCCGAAAAAGATGTCCAGGACCTCTGGCAGAAAATTAGGCCCACAGCATTAAAGATACAGCAGAGCATTTAATTTTACACATGGGGTACTTTTTTATCCCCGTGTGCACCAAATCCATTTTAAGTGTTTGCTGCCTTTTTTTAAATTATTTTTTTATCTGACCTTAGAACCCATCCCATTTGAAGTTCCAGTAGTGTCAGTTACTTTTCAAACGTTCTATGGACAGATGAAACAAACAAAAAAAAGGAGCTTTTTGGCAGCCAACACTTATAAGATGGGATCTAGGAATCTGAAGGATCTGGAGAGATTCTGTATGGAGGAATGGTCTCTGATCTATTGTCAGGTGTTTTCCAAACTTATCAGGCATTATAGGAGAAGACTCAGAGCTGTTATCTTGGAAAAAGGAGATTGCAAAAAGTATTTAACGAAAGGGGGCAAATTATGTGACCCCCCCCACCCCCCCCCCCCCCCCCCCACACACACACTTTTTGAATTATTTTACTTCAATAAACTGTACAGACAACCAGTCTCATTTTAAAATAAAATACAAATTTTGTAGAGATTTGAGAATTGATCAATATTAATGTGTAACTTTACTGTGTGGTGTTTCAATGCAAAAACTTGCATTCTATTTCCATTCTAACAGCCAAAAGTCCAACTTTACCAAGTACTCCTTTATTTTAATTTATACAAATTATATTTTTATAGAATGCAAATGTAAAAAACAAAGATAAATTGTATACATTTAAAATGAAAATTTTCTGTTTTATATCTGAGCAGCAAATCTCAATCTAGCTTTTTTTATCCTAAAAAAACATCCCATACCAAAATGTTACTCCAGTGCCGTATGCTAATTTCAGAGTAATCGATTTGTTTACTCACGGATACACTTTTTGGGGGTTTATCATTAGCCAAGAAAAACTTTTAGGGTTTATCATTTACTCACCCTCCTGTTGGTTTAAACCCTGTCCTCCATGATACACAAAAGGATCTAAAATGACAAAGCAGTCCATTCTAATATGCACTACATTTCAAGAATTCCGAAGTCATATGATAGGTTTGTGAGGAACAAGATGTTAATTCTTGAAAATGTTTTTTTCTGACACAGCATATAAATCTCATTCACGTTTAAAAACTGTTGCTAGGTTTGATGTTAATGACATCAAATTTCTTTGACACTCATGTCATGTATCTTGTGACCAACAGCGACACTCTTGAATTGTCTTCAAATGATTGAAATAGGGAGTGGAATGGACTACTTTTACTTTGCTTTTTTAATCATTTTGTTGTTTTAAATGATTGACTTTATACTGTACAATAATCTGCATAGACAATTCATTCAGAAGTTGAGTTCTTTTAAAGTGTCAGCCAATAATATTCTTGAAATTATGGTGTGTACACAGCACTAAAATGCATCATGTTATTATTATTTAAATAATTGTTCTGCCTTATAAGATGGGTATTTTAGGCTAGTCAGTTTTCTGTCCTGAAGATTCAGATTGACCTTGAGATATGTGAGACTTGTCTGTGAGAGTCTTTTCTTTTGTTTTACAAATGCACTGTAACTAAACCAGTGAAAACTTCCCGAACTCATCCACAATCCCTTCTCTCTTATCTCGCCTACCAGCAGGCGACAGAGGTCAATGAAACCAACAGCGCAACCATCTGCTCTGGTTTTGAATTCGGAGAGAACATAAGCACTAACAAGCACTCGCAGACAAATAGACAAGCAAACATGCAGACTTTTCTAAAGACAAACAGCAATAAACACACTCACACTAGCGCTCTCACTCAATGCATCAACTTGTGTCCTGAAAACATCCATTTCTGCCTATTAGCCCAGTGAAAGGGACATGCCCAATGTCAACCACTGGATAAATAATAGTCAACATAGCTGGGACATTTACTTTGATTTCCATACTGACGTCATACTATTGATTTGATTCACACGTAGAGGATGACTGCTATGACACACAGACCCCTGAGGCGTCCCTCTAGAATAAATACAACCATTCACTTTTTCTGGTATTGTTATGATTCACCATCTCTATTTTCCTTTGGAGATATGTAGGTCTGTTTCAGGAACTTCTGAATCTGTTTCTACTGCTCATTCCACTGTAACCTCAGGCTTAATCGGATCATTAGCATTCACCCACCTCTGACTCTCTCTCATTCCTCTCAGGAATAAGTGGGTGGCCATTACAGGTCTTTTTATGCAGCAAAGAGGTGAAACAGAAACAACTTTTCCTTTTTATGTTGTCGAAAATAACATCCCACACATCTTGTTATATAGTCATTCCCTCTTTATTTCTCTGCATCTCTAATGCATTTAATTGTAGTAAATGATGGCAAGAGATTGATGAAATGGGTTCAATGGCTGCTTCAGAGATAATGAGATTTTACAGACTAATATTGGTGTGTGGCTGGGGCTTATTGATGAGATATTTCAGTCTGAAGTCTCAGTCTGATAAATACTTAGATCCCATAAATAGATATGCAATGTATTTTCAATCTGTTCAACGCAAAAAATAACTATTCTCCTTTTGTCAAACGATGGGGATCTTTCTTCTGTGGAACACAAATGGAGTTAAACATATGTCCAAGCTGTTAGCAATTAATGTTTTAAATTGAATGATTTTCCCTGATTTTATTGTCAATTTGACTTAATGGCAAGTGACTACAATTCTGAAATTGCTCACCATCTTTCTGTAATGGGCTCAGCATGTTTATGCGGTTTCTTAATATGTGCTGCATTTTGTAAATTGATTTGCCTCACACAATTTTTGTTTTTCATCATCATTCACAGGTGGAAACGATTCATCCAGCATGTGCTCTGGTGGCTGAGCATATGAAGGCTCAAGAGCAATGCATTCACACACAAAGACAAGAGGCCCACAACAGCAACAATATCACTGGTGAGCTCTCCCATCTGAACTACTTCAATCCTTACTACTTTGCATCTCCTTTATGTCCTTAATGTCTACCCATTTGCTGATTGGTAATAAGACACTTTTCGAGGTGAACATGATTTAAAAGATTGAAAACTAGGTTTACAATTTTAAGCATTACACTTTCCTATATAGGTCAGGTCAGGCAAGGTAATTATAGGATGCAATCAAGTGTTGAGATTTAGGAGATTAAAGGCAGTTTCTCAAACAGCAGCTGTTCGATTCTGGCTGCTGATGAAGAGTGCGGATCATCAGATGGGATCAATACAACTCATTTCATTGTACTTTCATTGTCAGTGATCAAAGGCTAATCAATCATATTTTAAGCATGATTCCGTTTACTAAGGTTTTGAGATCATATGTAATATTTGTAGACAGAAGCTTACTTTTTTTTCCAGGGGTGTTTTTGTCTTTTCCTAACAGCCTAGTCAAGTTGGTGATTTGTAAGGCACTTCATGGATAAGCATCCTCTTTTGTTTTGTCATTTTAATAAAGAGTTTATCAGATTAACATAGAAGTTTTGTTTCTGATTTAGCCTATTTTATTATTATTGTAGTAATAAAAAAAAAAAAGTTATATTCTAAATGTATTATACATTGAATAATCAAATGTAAAATAACACTATTTACTGTAAAAAATTTAATATAATGAATTAATACAATTTATCTTTGTTAAAACCACAAAGGTGATTTTGTCTTTCTCTTTTGTTGTTTGATTAGCATTGCTGCTGGTATATTAGGCTGCTGTCAAGACTAATGCACAGATCCAATATAATGATATGCAATAACGCAACCATTTTCTTTCTCTGTTTACAACACATAGCCGACTGCGTTTCCCTGAGAAGGGCATTTTGTTTTCCGTGCATATGTCCGGTCAGGCACAAATAGACGAGAAAGAGAAAATAATTCGGTGCTGTCAGAGTGGCTCTGTGTGCGCACACAGAAAACCAGCGTGTGAGTTCCAGTCTTGCGCATGATGTTTAAACTGACAGATCTTAAAAACATATGAAACTGATAATCTTTCACTCTATGATGTGACTCTAACATGCGTTCCGAACCGGGGTGTAGCTGGCCCGTACGATTCACGGATCAACTACGATTCCTATACTTGAAATCGCACATCCTGCGATGTGACTATCGTGGATGCATATATATTGTGCAGCGGCCCATACCTCCCATTGTTGGACAAAACTGAATATTTATTTTATTAGAAGACATTTTCACCACTTAGTTTATATTTAAGTTATTCGATATAGACTTCCATGAGACTTCCCCAGAGAAGCATATTGTTCCCTTTCGAGGGAAGTCGCGATGTGTCGATGAAGCTTTGGGAATGCCCCTGCGTGAATGCGTCTGAAGCACTTCAACTACTCCAAAGGAGAGAGTGAGCGTCACGGGCGGGTGACGTCACGACCAGGAAAGGATAAAAGCACATCCGGGTTAGAACCGCGCTAGCTTCTGTGCCTCAGCAAGCGCTCTGTGTTACATACTGTCTGTCTTATTTATTGTTATACAGTCACAAGCATATATATTATGGCGAACAAACAACCTTAGATCGTGTGTTCCTCCCTGCCCTCTTTCTTTACGGGTGGGGATACACACGATGGATGTGTTGTTTGTTTAGAACAGAGCATGATCTGTCAGCGCTCGAGGGTGCTGACTACGAGCATTGCGAGTTACTATCGCTTTACTCGCTCCATTCCCGCCTGTCACTCTTTGAGGAGGGTGTTCGGGCTCCGCCTTTTCTCCGCCTTTACCCGGGGGATCCAGCGCTCTATCTCTGGGATCGGAAGCCTGCGCCGCGGCTTCTTCCGCCCTGGTAGAGAGCCCGGTGTTTCAGTCTATCTCTGAGGAGGTAGAGTTGCGGAGCATAGATGCAGGGGAATACAAACTCACCACCCTCATCTATGAAGAGCATGTTCGAAGAAAAATTATGTAGCTCTATATAAAAATTAAAATTAGTGGGCGGGCTATGTTTATTTAAAAAAGACTGCAATAAGAATTGAGTGGTTATGCAAATGCAATGCATAGATTAAAGAGATACATAGTGTATTGCAAGGTATGAATTTATGATTCTTTTTTTTTTGTATGTTGAAACTATTTTTTATATATAAGCCTACATATATTCAGCCTTTCATCCAGACTATGTTGTCCTGTCTGGTTGATCTTTTGCTGTTTGATTCTGAGGAATTAAATAAGTGGGCTGCATTTAATTTTGAGGAATTAAATGATGAATGCTTATCTGACTTTCATTAGTTAGATTCATGTATAAGTTCAGCCTTTCATCCAGACCGTTTTTTTTACTTGTCTGGTTGATCTTTTACTGCATTTAATTGAGTAATTAAATGAGTTGGCTACATTTAATTTTGAGGAATTAAATGGTATAATACGGTGCTGCAGCTGTCCACCTCCGAGGAGATGGATGTGCTGAGCATCGAGTTAAGGGAATTGAAGATTCTCCATCTCAATCCCATGTGTACAATGAGTTTTGGAGTTTATAACCTCCGTGTCAGGGCCTTCCAGTTTTTCTGGAAGCCACTGGTGTCAGACCTCTGAGGGCAGCCCCGACCGGGGTGGAGCGGTGTACACCTCAGTATACTGTGCCTGACCCACCTCGGTGCCCTCGGGAGGTTTTGCGAACCTCGGGGCGCAGCGGTCTCCAGCGAGCACATGGCTTAGTGTCACCACAACGCTGTGTCAAACTCGCACCCTCTGAGGGGGGTTCAAAAACAGTCAGTTCAGTTGTTTCCTGCCAGTATACTTCAGGTCACCGAAGTGACTGTTTCAATTACACCAGAGGCCAGTCTCGAGAGACTGGTACCCTTAGTAGATTATCTGACAGAATGGAAGAATCTGCCAAATATATCTCAGTGTGTCCTCCACATAGTGTAAGGCTACAGAATCCAGTTTGGTTCTCGTCAGCCACACTACAACGGGGTGTTGCTCACATTAGTGCACCCCGATCAGGCTCTGGTAATGGAGCAAGAAGTAAAAACTCTGTTAGCTGAGGAAGCTATAGAGCAGGTGTATTCACTCGACAGAGAATCGGGTTTTTACAGCCGTTACTTCATTGTTCCGAAAAAGGATGGGGGGTTGCATCCTGTACAGTATTAGATCTCAGTTGAATCTTGCAGTCAAGAAGTTCAAGTTTAAAATGCTGACATTCAAACAGATTGTGACTCAAATCAGATCCGAGGACTGGTTTGTCACAACAGATCTAAACGACGCATACTTCCATGTATCCATCCTCCCACAGCCCAGGAAGTTCCTGAGGTTTTCTTTCAGGTGCAAAGAATACCAATATCGGGTGCTTCCATTCGGTCTAGCTCTTATCACCCCGCATGTTCACCAAATGCGTAGATGCAGCTCTGGCCCCGCTCAGGCTGCAGGGCATACGCATTTTGAACTACATAGACCAATGGCTTATTCTAGTGGAGTCAGAGCAGTTGGCGGTTCGGCATCGAGATGTCGTCCTCGCACACATGCAGAATTTGGGGTTGAGACTCAATGCCAAGAATGGTGTGCTTTCTCCAATACAGTGAACCATTTTCCTTGGTGTGGTTTGGGATTCAGTCACGATGCGAGTCGTTCTTCGCCCACTCGTGTAGCTGCTATCCTCAGCCATGAAAGAGTTAAAGCTAGGCCAGTCATGCACTGTGAAACAGTTTCAGAGACTGTTAGGCCTCATGGCAGTGCCGTCCAATGTGATACCCTTTGGCCTGCTGCACATGAGACCTTTGCAGTCGTGGCTCAGGACCAAAGGGTTCTCTTTGAGGGGAAACCCACTTCGTATGATCAAGATCACGCGGCGGTGTCTCCACGCCTTAGTTATATGGAGGAAACCTTGGTTCCTATCCCAGGGTCCAGTGTTAGGAGCTCTTTGCCATCGAGTTGTGCTCTCAACAGATGCTTCCTTCACTGGCTGGGGAGCGGTAATGGAAGGCCGCTCAGCTCAGGGTCTCTGGAGGAGTCATCATCTTTCGTGGCACATAAATTGCCTGGAGATGATAGCAGTCTTCAATGCGTTGAGACATTTCCTCCCAAACCTGTGGGGCCATCATGTGCTTGTCCGGTCAGACAACACATCGGTGGTCATCAAGGGGATCTGCGTTCACGTCCACTATGCAAACTGGCGCACCAAATTCTCTTGTGGTCCCTAGGGAAGCTGCTCTCCCTGGGAGCAGTTTATTTTCCAGGGCATCAGAATGTAGGAGCAGACATCCTGTTGAGGCAGGGGCTGAGGCCCGGGGAATGGAGGCCCGGGACATTTGGGGGGTTTATGGCCAGGCACAATTAGATTGGTTCTCGTCTCAGGTTACAACACACTGTCCACTTTGGTTCTCCCTCACACACCCAGCTCCCTAGGGGCTGGACGTTTTGGTATAGACGTGGCCGAGGCTACCTTCGGTCGTTTCCTCCATGGTGCTTTTAGACCAGGACAGGAGTATGGCGGCTTAAAAGCCTTATTATATAAGTAGATATCCCTGTAGGATGTGGTATGCGGCAGGCTGGTCCTCTCCGCTCACATTCGTAAGGTTTTACAAATTCCACCTGGGCACTACCTCAGGTTCACATGTGCTTTTGTCTTAGTTGTGCTTTCAGTATTCACACAGACAGGCTCTGGTTCGTATGGCGTATTGGGCATTCTCGTTCCCAAAGCGTCATCGACGCATCGCGAGTTCCCTCGAAAGGGAACATCTCAGGTTATGACTGTAACCCTATTTCCCTGAGTAGGGAACGAGACAATGCATTACTTTGCCATACTTCCTACATCCCTGTGATCGACTTGCTTCGGCCTTTTTCGAAGCTAGCGCGGTTCTAAACCGGATGTGCTTTTATCCTTTCCTGGTCGTGATGTCACCCGCCCGTGACGCTCACTCTCGCCATTGGACTAGTTGACACAAGTGCTTCAGACGCAATCATGCAGGGGCGTTCCCAAAGCGTCATCGACACATCGTCTCGTTCCCT